TGTTTTTAAATACCAGGTACTGGTACTCCCCTTGTTATTCAGTACCAGGTGCCGGTACTCCACTTGTTATTCAGTACCAGGTACTGGTACTTCCCTTGTTATTGAGTACCAGATGCCGGTACTCCCCTTGTTATTCAGTACCAGGTGCCAGTACTTCCCTTGTTATTCAGTACCAGGTGCCAGTACTTCCCTTGTTATTCAGTACCAGGTACTGGTACTTCCCTTGTTATTGAGTACCAGATGCCGGTAATCCACTTGCTATAGAGTATCAGCAGATACTGAGAGGTGCTGGTATTGCGTACAGGTAATTACCGACCCAATTCAAACACTGGAGTGACTGTAGAGTGAGAAATAGGATGAACCACTTTGCTGTTGGTATAATCATGGGGTTGGGGCGATGAAGAATTGGGTTAGGTTTGTGATCAGCTTTAAAAGAATGTCTAGCGTTATGGATAGGTAAGACAGGAATGAAAACTCAACAGTGACTGACAGTGGGTGTGATTCCTAAGAAAATAAGAAAATAAACACAATTGTCAAAAATAATAATCGGTGTTACATAACAGCAGCAGGAAACTACACCGCGTGAGTAATGAGAAAATGCTGTGGTGCAATAAAATCAATGGTCAAAACAGTGCGGCCCCATGCTAACTGGAGCGACCAAAAAATGTCCTGTAAGGCAAGTATATTTAGAGCCAGTGGGCTTTGAGAGGAAAGGGAAGAGTAAACCCGCCCAGAGAGACGGTGGTACGCGATGCCCCGGGCACCGGTAAGAAAGCAACGGATCGGCCGTGGGGAAAGGGTGCGGCCGGGAACAGATCCCCAGCAGAGCGCAGATAGGGCGCCGAATGACCATCATGGTCCTCTCAATCTCAGAGGTTAGCCTAGTACTATAAAAGTCTAAAACAAACTTTAAAAACATTTCCCGTTTCCCTGTTCTTCCCATATTGGAGCTGTAGATAAGAAGTCAGCAATGGCGTTTTTATTTCGTTTAGGCTTCCGAGCCTGTAACGCTTCGTACGCTTTATGGCTACGGCGCATTTTACTCTGCTGTGCAGGTAGATCGATGCTGTGTCCTCCCAGTTCAGGCTAGGGGGTGTGCGTCGTGATTAATGTGTGCGTTTGGTGTGGTTTTTAAAGGGGACTGGGGTGGATTGTGAGATTGCAGCGGATAACAAAAATGACCCAGTTCGGTCCTGAGAAAGGCAAGGTCAAGTAGGTGCCACCCACATATCTGCTGGCGGTTCGGTGTGGATTGTGAGGGATATACTTTAATCAGGGTGTGTGTTTAAACGATTACCTCACTTTGGCAAGTTATGTATAAACCATAACAATCAGTAATAATTAAAAAAAACACCTGACAATGTATCACGGCTATGAATCACTGTTTAGTGATATTTTTGCCACATGTACCAGTATAGATGTATAGGAAATCTATAGGTACATTTCTTCGTATGAGACTGAAACTCACATTTGTCTCTGTAGTGAATCCTGGTGTATTAAAAGGTGAGTTTTCGTCTATTGTTTAAATTAACTATTGGATAAAATGTATGTTTCTGAATGAAAAATGTGACATCTCACACATTTAGTTTCACAGTGGAAAACATATTAGGTTAATTAGCAGGGGTGGAAAAGTGAAGATGATTCCAAAAGCCCCTGAGTGATTAATACTTCTACGGATCTATGGAGGGACTAAAAGATTTGATAAAATAACTTTTACATCAGCAGAGTCCATTTTAATTATATATTTGATAATACTGCGATTACGAAAGAGAATACAATCAGACGTGAGGTAACAATATTCTGGAAAGAATTATTTAATAACTGACACAATACATAATGTAACACAATCAAAAAAACAACTCGCATTTCCGGCAGAATAATAGTCTCATTAATGAGGGCAGCAACCAGGTCAATATCCCAGGTCTTTCTCAATCTAGTTTTAGGGTGTGACCCATTTAGATATTACCTACTTTGTTCTACTTTACTTATAATGCAATAACCTGTTAGATGGCAACATGAGTGTTCGACCTGGCAGAGGTTTCAGCGTAAAGCCCGGCTGAAATTTAAGCATGTTAGCTTACGTACGCAACATCCCCATGTTTCTGAGAGAGTTTTAATGTTCCTGGGAGGTGTGCATGCATTTGAAAGCTGTCGAGACCTGGGGTGTTAATGACCAAGCATCCAGCAGGGTCAGTGGTGGTAACTTGCCTCTGTTCTGTAGGAACTCCAACCAGTGAGGTCTGGCTGTTGGACACGACGCCCAACGAGTCGTACTCACTACCTGACTGCAACTCGGACATCTCCGGGGCCTGTAACGCCTCTGACGCTTGGAACCCCGCCTTCCCGGACGACAACGCCACCTCCAACCAATCGTACAACCCCTTACTGCTCCTCACCCCGCCTATGTTTGTGCCCCTGTACTCGGATTGGAACACGGCCATGGCCACGTGGGGGGTGGCATGGGAGGCCCACATCTACGGCCTGGGCTCTCTGTTCGCCGTGGTGGCTGCCCTTGCCGTGATCAACCTGTCGTGCCTCCCCTTCCGGTGCCCGTCGGGCTGCGGCTACTTTGCGCTGGTCAGCCTCTTCCTGCTGATTGCCGGGAGCAGCAGAGCCTTCTCCTTGTTCTATGACGCCTACAGCCACCAGGACAAGCTGCCGGCAGCGGGGACCCTCCTCCTTTACGAGGCGCCCTTCCCGTGCCTCACGGCCGCTTTTGGCATCGTTTTCCTGCTGCTCTCCATGCGCTCCCGGATGCAGCTCTCCCATTCCGTTCTCCAGCACCCCTGCTTCCTGGCTGTCCTGGTGCTGCTGCACTTCGCCACCACATTCGGCTCGGTGGCCCTGCTCCAGGTCTTCACGCAGCTCCCCTGCCTCTTCTTCATCTCCCAAGGGGCCTTCGTGGTCTTGGCGGCCTCCCTAGCCACCACCTACTTGGTCTTCTACTGCTATGTGCGAGCTGACTCCAAGCACATCTACCATCTCAACAACACATCGCCGCCCGTCGAACGCTACAACCGCTGCCCCTTTGCCGACGCCAAGGACTGGGACCGGGCGGCAGCTACTGCCGTATTCTCCTCCCTCTTCGTGCTGGCATGCGCTGGCCTGCAGCTCTACGCCATGCTCCATGCACTGGGCTTGGGAGGTGCAGAGGTCTTCCTGCCCTGGCCCTGGTGGGCCTTCCACCTGAGCTGCCGCGTGTGCGAGGCCAGCGTGTGCCTGACGCTCTCTTTTGTCGTCATGCACCCGCTCTGCTGCTCCAGTGACCTCCCCCAGCCCAGCTGCTGGCCCAAGGTCTTCCGCGGCCACCTCGCCATGAAGTCGTCAGTGCTGCCCAACAACTATCCATGGTCGCAGCAGGAGAAGCTGGTGATCTGTGACACCATCGCCCGCGGCGAATCTGAGTGCCTGCCACTCTACGCGCTGGTGGACCACCGCCTAGACAGTGTCGACGGGCTAGACCTCCTCTACCACAGCCACCGGGTGTTGGCCGTCAGAGACACAGACCACATCAAGGCCAAGGCTGATTCCCTGAAGTCCTCCTCCGCCAGCCTGCACCTGGATAGTGACTCCACAGCAGACTTGAGACCTCCTTCACCCATCAACCTTCGCCGGAGCATCGATGAGGCCCTCTTCAGCGAGGCCCTCTTCCCCCAGAGCATCTTTAGCTCCTTCACCAACCTGTCATTCAGCACCAAGCCGGCCTCCGACAGCCACTCCTTCTGGGAGAGCTCGGCCGACCGCAGCCTGTACCGGACTTCCTCCTGCACGGACGTGGAGGCCCCCCAGGCTCTGCCAGCTCCCTTGAAGGGCCCCACCCTGTCTGGGCGCCGCACGCAGGACGCAGCCTCCTTCTCCTCCTCTGCCGATCACTGGCATGGCAGCAACTCCAGCTCTGTGTTCCAGGCCTCGCTGGATGGCTCCTCCCTGGTGCTCTGTTCGAGCCCAGAGAGACTGGGCCAGGGTGCCGCCCCCCTAGGCAGTGGCCGTGTCGGGCCCGGCCACCTGTCCCAGAGCAACCTCAACCTTCAAAGACGGTACCAGGTGTTGGGCTCAGCCTCACAGGAGAGCCTGCACCGGGACAACTCACAGGACCTGGCCGTCCAGGCAGAGTTCATTAGCGCGTGTCGGCAGATTGATACTCTTAGTGTATGCAGCGACACCATTGACCTGTAGGTGGGGCAACGACATGGACAATGCAGACCGAGAAGCACCAGGACTCACTGGGGTGCCTAAATATAGCAAAGGTCTGTAGCCAAGGTGCTATTGTTTAGCTCTATCCCTCTGCTCACAATTAAAGAAATAAATAAACAAACAAACGCCAACCAGCACACTGTCATGGATCATGTAGCATTGCCGAACCGCTAAGCTTTCTGAATCCCAGATTTGGACAGCCCCCCCCCCAGAATTCCTGGGTTTTAATCCTTGAAGGTTTTCATTCCAGCTGGGTGGACACCGAACCTAATAGAAACAGGGATGTGTCGCAAAAGTGCCACGGAATGAGAGATGCCAAGAGAAATTTTCGTATACTTGTGTCTCAAATTGGGACACTGATTTTTTTTTCCTATTCAAAAACACATTTGTACAGTTCTATACATTTTGCCAAGACTTAAATAATACTGTGATAAAGCACTTAAAGAATAATTGAATTCGTTATCCACATATTACTTATTAGATACCTTGTACTAGAAATTATATACGTAAAAGCTATTACAAAATAAGGTTTTGAAAGGTAAAAACAAAACGAACAAAAAAATCGCCAGACTGCTGTTATGATTTAATAAACACTGACGTCCTATCTGTTCCGCATTGTCATTTTCAAACGGAACAGTACTATTTTTGTAACCGTTAGGCGTAACGAGGAAGAAAATATCAGCAGTATTGTAGCAGCGCACCAGTGCCATCTACTGGTTCAAAACATCACCATGTGCTTTATTTAAAATATTTGTTATAACGTTTCTTAACACCCATTTCACTTTATATTAAAAAAATGATTTATTTTTCAGTTTTAGACTTATTGTGTCATTTACCTGCAAGTCTTCTCTGCGTTGTTAAATAGGCATTGAATATTTTCTACATGGAGAGAGTTAATTTATTGTGCTATTATGTGCATGTTTTAAAATGTTTACGGAAAAATAGCTGATTTCTATTGTGATAACGTATATGGAGAAAAAGCTTTCAGTGATATGCTTCTTTCAGAATGGTGTTCATTTCCAATAACAAATAAAAGAACTTGACAGAACCTTGCAAAGTCATTTCTACATTTAAGAGGTGCAATCTGTGAATTTGGTACAATACTACAGTATGTGGGTCCTACTGACAACATCTACGAAACTGACTGCAGACAGATGGTCCACATATTATCATTAAACTAGGACATTGATGCATATGTAATAAACTAAAGAATTTCAACTGGTCACCTTAAGACAAAACTATTTAAAGAGTATTTCACTAACTACTCTGAGGTCCTCATTTAAACCAGGGATGGGGAACCTCTTCCAGTGAGGGCCAGTGTGTGCAGGTCTTTGGGATGACCTCTCCATCAGCCAGTAATAAAGCAGTGGTTCTCAACTCCTAGTCCCGGGGACCCACTGTTATTGGCTGATTGAGTATCATCCCAAAAACCCACACCAGCCCTCCATGGAACAGGTGCCCCACCCTTGCTCTAAACATGTAATAGGTTTACTATAAAGTGCACAGCAGTGCAACCCAGGATGAAATATATACAACGTTTTATTTAAAATGCATTTTAATTTTAATTAGCAATAACATTGTGAACGTTTCTTAAAGCTTCGAAATATCCCGTTGCACATCGAAAAACCAAGACGGAAGATGCAACGCGCTTCACTGATGAGCACGAGGAGGACAGCAAGCCGGCGTGACAGAACGGTGCAGCCGGTGGTCCTGATCGCAGAGGGGGCTAAAATCAAGGAGCCGTTATCCGCAAGAACGACACAAAGAAAATTATACTGACCTACATCACATGAAGTCTTTTCCAACAGTGAAAATGAAAAGGCGTTTCCCTCACGGACTCAGAACTTAAGGTTGTGGTGATGTGGTTTTTGCTCAGTTTGTTAATTGTTTGTTATTACATCAGACGGGGCAGTGAAAAGCAGACGTCAGGCAGTTCAGCGTTGCATATGTACGACCAAAAAAAAATTAAAAATATATATATATCCTTTACAGGTGGCAATCTGACTTGTTACATGAAATCTCAATTTTAAAAAACTGCAAGTTAGTAAAGCCACAATAAAACTGGAGATTTGTCCAGCTAAAGTTGTCATTTCACCTTAACTACTTAACACAGCGTGAAAAACTGAAAATATACTTAAAATTTTATATTCTAATCAGTCTACAAAAACAACTTATACTCCGAGTATGGCTAGAAAACGAATTTCATACAGCATCTATTACACTTATATCCACAGCATATGTACCGGAACACTCAATACATACTTTTATTTATGCATAAATAACCTTTTGTACAATGTAAACGCTTCTGCTGATACAAATTACTCAAGGTCAAACCAATCAAAACCTGAGAGGCAACTATATCCAAATGGCAGGAAAACAATAATAAAAAAAAATTATTCTGTGTTGTAAATTTATTAGATGGAAATAACATTTGTTCCCCGCCGTTGCATTTCCTGTGACCTCTGACATACCTTCTCAGTCAGGATCCAGTAACTCCAGAGAGAGGAGAGTCAACCTTATTTCCACAAGAGAAACTGACTGAAAACTAAACTTAAAAAAAAAAAAAAGCAACATTTTCATTGCACGAACAAAACTGATGTTTTAGGGACTTGGAAGTTTTGCGGTCGGTCGACTGGGGAAAAGCTGAAGCAGGAACACAAACGGGGATCATTAGGATTTGCTTCGCTCTCCGTCAAAAAAACATTAAATAAAATGATTTGTCACACTTGATCATCTGATTATCACTACATGTAACGTTGTAACGCAAACCCATGACAGAAAAGCAGGCTGGTATATTGCTAGCTAAACAACCACGTTTATTTTGGTTGCATTATTACAGTTGACGAACCCAGGCCTATCTACACAAAAGCATGGTGGTTTAACATACTAACTGGGCAGAAATGAAGGCTGGCTGTACAAATAAATGATAAAATGGTGAAAATAGCACCTATTTACTTGGATTTTTCATGATTTATCTGTACTTTTTAAAAATTATTATTGGTCAAATTCCAGTTTTTTGTCTTGGTTCAGCATCACACACGACGATCACACTGGTAAGGCTCTCAGGTGGAGCATGACCCTGCATTAAGGCTACCATTCGGCGTTTGGTCCCCGCGACACCCTGCGCTGACAGAAACGGACAGCCCGCTGTCCTGGCCTCAGAGTCACGTTTTCCAGGTCCCCGGGTGCCACGGCAGCTACGGAATTACGCTTGCATTACTGTTTAAATCTGGAACTGCGCTGCAACGGACCCTGTCCTGCGTTTCACGTGATAATTTTAACGAACGAGGCTAGATTTTTGGGGTTACGCCATGTATCAGGTTAAACCTGGTCGCCGGTGGATTCCGGATGCTCCGCCCGGCTGTAAACGCTTTCGGAAAGGACTGAGGGACCCATGGTATTTGAAAAAGGATAACATGCATCCAAACGCCCCCCCCCGCCTCTACCCATCACCATCATAATCGCAGTGTTACTTTAGGGTGGGGTACGCTGGCTCAGGGCGCATATGACCGGGGGTGCTTCAAAGCCCAGGTGCTCCACTGGCAAATTGATAGTGCAAATCTGCAGGTGGGGGCAGGAGTAGTGTGTGTGGGGTGTGGGGTTGAGTTAGTTGGGACAGTATCAGACGTGCCCGTTGTGTCTGGTTGCCGCTGGAGATGGGATGTTGGGAGCCAGGCTGGTTGTTGGCCGGCCTCCAGGGTCAGTAAAGCCGTTTCTCGTAACTGTGGAGATACAGAGCAGGGAGGGGCATGTAGGATTCGTTACAGTTGTAGATGTAATTTTTTACTAACAAATTACTTAATTAAAAGAAAAAAAAAAAACACTTCATTGGTGTCAGCAATGTACATCGTATCCCAAATTTGTCAAAAAAAAAAACTGATCCCCAAAATGATTGCTTTTGGGTACCATAAGCAATACATTTTATAAACAGGAAACGTAGTAATGCTGAAACAGGCCAAAACACATCAATGCTGTCCTTAAGCCAATTCCCAAGTCTGGTGTGATTCCTGACGGAGGGATTACAAACAGGCTGAACAGCGCTGACACCAAAGGCGGCCGTCCCCAAAGAGCGGGGGGACACAGTCAGAAAGGACCGACTCCTCCCAGAGCTCAAACACGCCCCTCCCAGAGCTCAAACACGCCACCAAATCAGCTGCAGCTACTGAACCGGGTCATTAGTATGGAGGTGACGTACTTACATGGCACAAAGGAATATCTATGGTGCATGCATGAGCAGGGGGGAGAAAAGACATTTTGAAGTCTATTCACCTCTTAAACATGATACCACAAATTAAATACATGCTTTATACTAAAAATGCAGTACGAGTTCTCCAGAGATTTTGCCCGGCTACAGAGTGAGACTATAGTTGCTCTAAAAAGAGCCCCCCCCCCCAAGTCAGCAGTCTGCCTCTCACGTGGATCCTAAGTGGATCCATTAACCATCACCAGCCATTAACAGCCGTCATGCAAGTCAATCACCAAAAGGTTATGAATTTGGATTAAATGCATCTTAAAGTATAAAAGGCAAAAATACAAATTAAAAGGAATTTCAGACCCCAGTAATGGATTCTGGGGACGGGTGAGGGGAGACCCTGTTTGTCTAGCTCCGGTATGAGGGGGACCAAGAGCGCCCCCTGGTGGAGAGGAAGGGACTTACGAGTGCAAGCCGTGAACGCCTCCCTCCACCTGCGCCGACATGGTCCTCTTCTCGAACTTCAGCTCTCCGGAGTACATCATGGAGCTGCAGAGTCATAGGGATGGTTATTCTCCGCTGACACGGACATGAACATGTCTAGGATAAGTGGCTGATAGTTGGATGGTTGGATGGATGCTAAAACTGAAGATGGCCGCGATTCCTTTGCACTCCTCACTTCCATAGACATGGCATTCGTTCGCAGGAACCCGCACACCAGACACACAGCTGTGATTACGGATGGACGCACTTACCGGAGGATGGACAGGCTCTTGGCGCCAATGTCCTGGCAGCCGTGCTGGATGCCAGCGATCAGGTAGGGCGCGAACTTGTGAATGGAGCCCTTGTCCTGCACAGAGCCCGATACCCCCTGGGCCACCTTGACCTTGTCGCCCTCGCTGTGCCAGACAGACAGACAGACAGAGTCACATGACTGCAAAGGGCAAGTGGGTGGGCCGGACTGTTGACACACTGGGGGGCGCCTTACCTGAAGTAGCGCTTCTGGCTACTGCTGTTTGCCTCCATGGCGTCCAGGGAGCCCATCCCACGGTACTTCTTCAGTCGCACGCCGTCGGAGAAGAAGTACTCGCCCGGGGCCTCCGTGGTGGCGGCAAGCAGCGACCCCATCATCACTGTGAACGTAAGGGTCGAGGGGTCGAGGGGTCAGGTATGTTACACGCGATCAGCAGCTTGATCGAAAGGAGCCACTGCTGTCAGATGTGAAGGTACCTGTGGACGCGCCCAGGGAGAGGGCCTTGACCACATGTCCCACCGTCTGGATGCCCCCGTCGGCGATGACCGGGACGCCGAAACGGCGTGCATACTCAGCCACCTTGTAGACGGACGTGCCCTGGGGTCGGCCACAGGCCATGACTGCGGGGATGGTGAGCGGGACACGCAGACAAAATCACTCACATGATCACCGGCAGGGTCGCGGTTCCAGCCCGGAAAGACGCCGGCGCTCCTACCTTCCTGCGTGATGCAGATGGAGCCGCAGCCCATACCCACACGGAGGGCGTCCACGCCGGCATCGATCAGGTTCTTGGCCTGGGCCGCCGTCACCACTGCATGGAGGGAGGGGGGGGGGCGCAGCTTAGCACCTAGCTCTCACCACCTGACCCCCGGCCGAGTCGTGACCCACTCACCGTTCCCCCCCACCACTTGCAGCTCCGGGTACTTCTGCTTAATGTAGTTGATCATATTAATCTGGTAGACAGAATTCCCCTGTGACGAGTCCTGTGGTGCAAAATGAATATATTACACCTCACTGTCAACGCACTTCCACTGCCGATTTTTATTTTGGTCCATTTTGCAGTCATTTTATCTTTATTTATTGCAAGGTCATCGGCATGTGGAGCTTTTTGTCATTTTATTCTTTTTATTTTAAATTTTATTCTTATATATTTTTATTCTGTTAAACTGATTTTTCTCTTTGCATTTAAAATTTCATCCAGTACATTCCAGTGGAGAGGAATTTCACTGCACGGTGGTACAGTGTATGACCACGTATGTGACAAACTTCAAACTTTATTTAAATTTTTTTTTTGCAGCCAAAGCGACCTGGTGACATCACTCTGTCCACGTTGGTGACATCACTCTGTCCACGTTGGTGACATCACTCTGTCCACGTTGGTGACATCACTCTGTCCACGTTGGTGACATCACTCTGTCGCGTCGGGAGTTACGGCGGCTCCCGTGAAGGTGACACTCACCAGCACCACCACGTCCACGCCGCCCTGCACCAGCAGGTCCAGTCGGTACTTGTCGTCCTCGCGGGTCCCGATGGCGGCACCACACAGCAGCTGCTTGCGCGAGTCCTTGGAGGCCAGCGGATAGTCACGATTTTTCTTCAGGTCCGTGCGGGCTATGATGGCCACCAGCTGGTCGCTGTCGTTCACGATGGGCAGCTTGCCTGGGGGGGGGACAATGAGAAGCATATCAGTGTTTTCCTGGAGCTGCATTCCCAACACGCACTGCGGCAGAGATATAGGTTTTAGGCCCAGGAAGACCATTAGGGATCCCAGCCCACTCAGAAATGGCATCTTCTCTGCGCAGAGCTCAGAGTAGCACTAGAGAGAGAGAGAGAGAGAGAGAGAGCTTTCCCACAGCGATTTGGATCCTTAATTAATAAGCACTGCGTCTAGGATCTAGAATGTTCCGCTGCAGCCTACATCTGTCCAGCTCCAGTATATACTCGCACTGTACAGTGTACCTAAGTAAATACCATGTTATTCATTTGACACTTTGCACTGCGCCCGACACTTCATTGCTAATTGCACGTTAATATGTAATGTCCATGTTCAATGTCCTCTTTCACACTTATGCTATCTGTTAGTGCAGTCTTGGAGTTGGACCAGCAAGCACTTCACTGCACACTGTAAAACCGTGCATGAGACAAAACTGGTTTGATTTCGAAGCTCGGGGTGGCATCCTGTGAAAAACACACCCCTCCCCAAAGGAAAGTCGGAAGGTGGATCGTTTTTGCCAGGTGAGACAACCACAAGCCTCCTATGAACTGGCGTCGAATGTGAGCGCGACAGTGTGGAGGTGAGAGTCACCAGTAGGGGATGAGGTCACTGATACGATCAAGGTCAACGTGAAACCAAATGACATCATCCACCCAGGGACGTCCACCAGCCGAGCCGCATGGGGGGGGCTGGGACTCACCTTTCTTACTCCTCTGCAGGATGTCATTGGCCTCCTTCAGCGTGACACCAGCTGGGGCCACGACCAGGTCCTCACGCTTGGTCATCGCCTGGGAAACAGATCCAGAGGTGATATAGATAACAGAGATATACATAACTAGCAGGAGAGAGGAATGTCCTGCCTGGGTCCCCACGACGGTCACTTTGCCCCACCACCGGTGTAGTGACCACTTGTGGCCAACAGGGGGCAAACCTTGAAATGCATGGTTGCAGTGATAAACCCTGCCACTGGTCGTATCCTGAAAGAGAATAGTTTCAGCCCCAGGATGGACCTACTGCTGCCCGTGTAGCATCCAGCTGTACTTATGATCAAATCACAGGCTGTTTTGGATAAGGGCTGCATGTGAACATGTGATCAGTAAAGCGTCTGACAGTTCGGTTCCTGTTGCCGGTCATGAACGACGGGACTGCAAACATTCCGTCGGAGCGGGATAGTGAAACGGCGAGACAGACGGCCGTGAACACACCTCCTCCAGGGGCCGGCTGTAGTCCTTCTCCGTGAAGAAGTCGATGTCACGGGAGGTGACGATGCCCACCAACTTGCTGCCCATCTTGCCCGTCTCGGTGACGGGGATTCCCGAGAAGCCATGCCGGGCCTTGGCCTCGAACACGTCCCCGACCGTGTGGCGCGGGCTCATCACCACGGGGTCCGTGATGAATCCCTGCTCGAATTTCTGCCATTGGGGAGAAGGCCTGTCACTCTCCTCTGATTGGTCACATGATCAATCCCAGGAAGCACATTGCACAGGGCAGGAAGGCGGATGCACGGATAGTAAGATACAGTGCCACACGCCTGCTGTCCTTTATTTGAAACCCAGAAACCTACCTTAACCTTCCTCACTTCATTGGCCTGGAACTCCGGAGTACAGTTGTGGTGAATGATTCCGATGCCGCCCATGAGCTGGGAAAAGACAAAAAAAATAAATTAAAAAAATCCTTAGACAAGCTGTTGGAGCTCGAGCACCTTAAGTCTCCACACCCCTCAAAAACAACCTACCGCCATGGCGATGGCCATCGAGGACTCCGTAACCGTATCCATTGGAGATGAGATCAAGGGGGTCTTTAAAGTGATCTTTCTGGTCAGTGCAGAGGTGAGGTCCTGTAACCAAGATCACAGGAAACAAAATAAAATAAAAACTAGCACGATTACTTCTGAAAATGCCCTAGACATGACTGACAGATCATTTTCACACTACACACCTTAATTCCCATTTAATTTATTGGCATGCATCGACATCTTTGTCCACTAGAGGTCAGATCAGCACAGAAGACACTTTCGGCACCTACTCCGCTCTGTAGCTTCCCGTAAATCAGGGCTATTCAAATCACGGTCCTAGAGGCGAGCACTGCTGGTTTTCCAGCCTTCCTTTACCTGTCAGTCAGGGGTGAAGCCTCTGACCAATCAGAATCAGTCATTATTAAACTACCTGGGAGAACTGAAAACAAGGCCTGGATTTGGAATCGAGGTCCAGATTTGAAGAGCCCTGCTGTAAACGATTTAAACAATCAGTAAGAACTGAAATGCTGATCACACAGATGGGAGATCCACTCTCCTGATCTGGAGGTTCGGTAAGAAAAACCGCAGAATCTGTTCTGATTACCCACGAAACGGCTTCATTTACGTGGCCAGTATAGTGGTGGAGATCATTTCACAAAATCCAAAACAAAGGAACAAGACCTTCTAAAGGCAGGAGAGATCAATGAAAGAAAACATATGGACAGTGTTTATTACATAGTTAGGAAACATATTCCAACACACAATAACATTATAGAACTGGTCTTAAAACCAGTGCCCCTCATGAGCAAGAGGCTCCAGCTGTCGCCAGTCACCTGCCGCGCTCCTTGCTGAAGTGGCACAGAGCCTCTCCGATACCAAACAGCTCCTGCTGCTTCGGAATATCGGGACAAAGACAGGCCAACTGCATCCGTGTCCATAAGGACATACATTTACATTTATTTACTTAGTTGAGGAAAGTGCGACCTTCCCAGACAGGACGGAGCCCTAATAGATTCCCACCAAACAAAACTACCAGCCTTCAGACTCCGTTCGGTATTACAGATTATCATCAGCACCCAGCTAACTAATATTTGAAAGCGGCTTTGGGACATCGTGTCCACAGGAGCGAAGTCCTTCCCCGTGAAGGTGTTGGCAGCCATGAGAGGTAACGGGTTCGGAAAGCAGGAAATGCACCACAGTAAGAGAGGTGTGATCTTACCAAATGGTCTCGGAAAGGGTGACTCAGGAAACACAGACGGGCAGAAGGCAGGACCCGGGGCAGCGTGCCAGCCGGCCACACGCGCACACCGACACACACACACACACACACACACACACACACACACGCTTATCTTTATGTGACTCTCCATTAATTTCTATGGGAATAACCCATAATCCCAACATGACGACCTTAACCCCTATCCAGTCCTAACCTTAACCATAAGTAACCAAACAAAATACAAGACTTCTGACAGTTTTATTTTTTTTATTTATATATATATATACATACACGTCAGTGGCATGACGTCCTTCCTAAACCGGATGTGGAAATCACACAAACACCACACAGAGCCAGGGATGGCAGTCGAACCTACAACCCTGGGGGTGTGAAGCCACAGTGCTGCCCCACAGGACTGGAGCAAATGAAACATCCAAACCCTGGGTGTAAGTCAGCTTCCAAACATCTGTGGCTGATTAACAGATAGCGGAGGATGGCAGAGACAGACTGCCAGTAGACTGAGACAGACTGCCAGCAGACTGAGGCGTCCTCGCCTCAGGCCAGCGTCTGAAACGTGGGCATGGCGGTTTCCTGGGAGGGGGCAGGGGTGGCTCCCCAGAGAGGAATTTGCCACAGTCTGGACAGTCAGACAGCCAGGACAGCGTGGGTGATCAAAAACAACGTAAAGTGGAAGCAAACACCGGCGTTTTCCCAGAGAGGCCCCTCGACTTCATTCTGTCGCTTCTTCAACATTAAACCCAATTAGGCGTAATCCCCTTGGAAAAAAACTTCCAGAAGATCGTGGTGGTCCCCCATCACCCCGCACCCAGGTGGACGTGGAGTTAGTTTCCCTTCCGATGCCATGACACCACTGCATTAACGTAACGACATTACGAGGGATTGGGAGTCGTGGCCAATGGCTGGGTCACCCCTCGCAGGCAAGTCAGGTGCCACGTTCATCCAACGCAACAACAGAATCAATGTGATGACAGATGTGATGATAAATCAGTCCAGGCTACTCTGAGAGGCGAAGTGGCACATATCTATGGTTAACCTCACAATCAAACAGGAATCTAAAGAAAATGATATTCAGATTTAAACTGAAAACACACTAAAAGTTGACACTCATCTTCCCACAACCGAAAATGACAAGGTAAGAAAATGGTTTGTTTTTGAATTTTAGGGCTCCAATATTAGGAACGGCACTTTACAAGAAAGAAGGGAATTCAGTACACGAGCTAAGAGACAAGGGCCTGCTCTTATCTCCTCAGCAGGATTTATGTTTGACTCCCAAGAGGCGACCAGCAGGGAAAGAGTTTGCGACTCGTCTGTGTTCAGTGAGGTCAGACATAAACACAGTCTGCAAGGCAGTGATCAGGAAACCTCTATTCCATTAAAAATAGAGCAAAGCATGTCGTCTCGACTAAGGATGGGGGCCGAGCATGTTGGTAGGAAACGGGAGGTGTGCTGCTCTCTAATTAAAGCGGAGCTGGTGTGAAGCCACACCCCCCCACAAGCTCCGCCCCATCACTCCTCTACCCCGGGAGCCAGGGGAGGGTCGCAGCCGCATGTATAAACAGGTCTGCTGAGGCAGGGCAGCACCCGACAGCGCGGCAAAACCCCGGGGAGGCAGGCGACACAAACAAGGCGGCAAGGCCTGCCGGAGCGGGGAAGGTGTCCCGCCCGCGGGTGGCGACGGGTTCGAGGACAGAAAACAGCTTTGTTTCCACTCTTAGTGCTTGAACTGGCTCACAAAACACAGAAGGCAGGAACCAGACCAGAAGACACAGACGCACACAAACCAAAAGTGTTTTTCCTTTACAGATTTTGGGGAGAAATTACCTTGCCGTGAATGTAAAAATGTAAGCTATTAGATTTTAAATAACAGACTTACCACTTCGTCGGAGGTGAAGTCGATGAAGCCAGGCAAGATCAGGAAATCACTGGCGGGAGAGAAATCGGGAGACAGAGGTCAGGGCATGGCGGCAATTAGCAAATATGTTAGCGGCGGCCAATCGGAAGCTCCGTAGCGATTTTAAGCCATATCACAAGACACGTGAGCTACGATGGAGATGCCAGAATGTTAGGAAAACAGTCTCATTACATTTGCAACCCAGGACATGAATAATGAAAAAAATACAGAAACAGCACATGGTTTTAATCTGAGACTCCTCAGAGACTCCTCAGAGACTGCGAGTCTAAGCAGTCCATGAACGCCAACCCAGTGGCATAACACCAGTGACCCTCGCTATGGGAAACGCGTGTCAGTGAGGGAGGGGCACGATTTGGAAGAGCTCGAGCCCACAAACAAGCAGAAAGGGAGGAGGTGGAGAGCAGCCTTGTCCCGGGACAAATGCCAGCGGCTAAATGCAGAAACCACAGAATAGTGACCCCACCCCGAGCAGGTCAGTCTGGTTCTGCTCCGCGCAGAATAAGGCGCACAGTGATCTGCGCGGGGGTCCAGGCTGGGTCCCGCGCTGTTGCTAAACCTCCAGACAAGAACCACGAGGCTATCAAACATGGAGCAAAAATAATACATAAGAAAACGGCTTCAGCTCCTCGGCCCGGATGATCCAGAGAATTCACTCATGGTGGATCGGAATCTCGTGGACCCAGTGCAACTCCTGATTAACCATCTGCACGAACATCAGCAGAAAATCGCCAGCACGCGATTTCAGGAGGCTAACGATGTCAGCATAGCTTCCCTAAACCACGTCTCTGTTTTCCTGGAAGCGTTTAGCTGGTTCAGGATCACAGAGAGTTTACAACCTATCCCAGGGCAACACAGGGCACGAGGCATAACCCTAACCCTAACCACAATAACCCAAATCATAACCATGATAACCCTAACCCCAACCTAGCCATAACCATCTAACCTCAACCATCAGAAACTAAACAAAATACCAGACTTTTGCATATTTTAGTTTTCTGATTGCAGTGACAGATTTTGATAAAACTGAGGTTTATAAAAGTAAGACGTTTCACCACATTGTGGAGGAACATTTGGTCCCCACAATGTGATTAATACCCCCCCCCCCCAAATAAACACACACAAAATCAGTCACACACTGCAGGCAACTGAGACACACACTGACCAGACCTCATGTTTTTGGAACACAGGAGGAAACCTTGGTTAAAATAAAATAAATAAATAAATCATGGAAATATGGGGAAAACATGTCAACTCCCCACACAGACAGAGGGAGCAGGAATCAATCCCCGGGGTGTGAGGATGCAAAACTACCCAAAGTCGACCAAAAGCCAAATTCAACCTCCCACACTCAAAATCCCTTGATGCCAAAAATTTTGCTCCTGGGTTCACAGTTTTTAAAATCTCAGGTGGATCTTCCTGAAAATCCAGACTGACAGCTTCGTCTGACGGACCAGCCAGGACACGGGAAAGGGAAGCCTTTCTGGGCCCCAACACAGAGCACCACTCAACTTATATATTTATTATATATTACAATTTATATAATGTAATTTCTCTTTTTTACTACTACTTTACTTCTTACCCCTTTTCTTCTACTTTTGCACGGCCAATTAAGGGCGACTCGGAGATACATTTCACTGCATGTTGTACTGTATGTGACAAATAAATCTCGTGAGTCTTGAATTGAACTCGTCTTTGGGAGCTTGGAGCAAAGACAGAGGAGCGAACGCGGGACGCGGCGACAGGGATCTCGGAATAAGCCGGAAGAGCAGGAAACAAAATCCTGAGAAGAGGCATGCAGAAAGCCAGCAGCAGAACATGCCGAGTGCTCCCCCGTAATCCATCATCCTTGGGCGGCCGCCTCGTAACTCCTAGGCATGCACTCAGAGTTCTCCAAACAATGTTATAGTAAAAGCACACAAAGTTATACAGGAATCTGTCGATTCATCTAGTAATAATTTATATTATATTACATAATTAGCAGGAATCAACCAGTCACTGCCAGATGCACACTCAGTGACAAAGGCAGTTTAACACACCACTTAATTTAAGTGGCATGTCTTTGGATGGACACACACACACACACACACACACACACACACACCATGCCATTCCTCCGCCCTGACACAGTCTTGCACGATGTGTGATGTTAATGTCAACATCGCATTTCATCCACATGCGACCGTCGCATCTCAAGGACCATGATAGTCTGGTGGCTTCAAGCATCGATAAGCTGCGCTAAAACCTTTTTTTAACTCCCTGGAAACAAAACGCTTTATTTTAACGATCATGTTCCTTTTCAAAATTATCTACCATATGTAAAAATACATTTTAAAAAATCAGTCTAAAGCTTACCGCCGCCGCTTTTGCATGAGCTCTGCTCACACGCTACGTATCACAGGGTTGCCAAATCTCAGGCACCTGCCATGAGACTCACGCTTTCTGAATCACGCAACAAATATTACGCCAAATCTATATTATTCCATTATTAACCTACAATTTGCTACACTTGAAGCGTTGGGGCAGCTTGCAAACCATACAGAATATTTACAAGGTAATAAAACTTTTACATACATGTAAATGCCTGTGCAGACTCGTCTGGAATTGAAAACCTCACATCCGCTAGCTGACCAAACGTGGCAACCCTGTATTCTGCAAGATTGCGGCTAAGTCACAGGTTGACCTTCGCTTATTTTGACATACAGGAATGATAGAAAGTAAATTAAGCAAAATAATTTAAGTCAATGTGATGACAATTCAGGCCAGGCTACTCAGAGGCGAAGTGGCGCATATCTATGGTTAACCTCACATTAGTTTCCAAATATCTGTGGTGATATTTACATTCTGCTTTGCAATACTTACAGACGATTATATTTCCATTCACTGTTAATGTGAATGAAATTACTTGGACCCTAATACGCTATGGCCGTCTTCCTTCCGCCATATTGCCGAGCGACCGAGAAGGAAAATTTTAAATTGATGCTTTTTAAGTAACCGAGTTTAATCAAGTAATCGTGACAGCTCTACACTGTTCATATTCATTTATTCATACTTTAGTCTTATTCCAAAGTACAGTCATGCCTTCAGGCGCGAGGGTTAGGGCTGGAATTACCAAAACCGCAAATGTCAAATTCGTGCATCTGGAGGGGCGACTGCATTACGTACAACACGAGTCGTCTAGGGACTGGAGTTTGCAAGATTCTGGTTAGAAATCAAAGCCTAACCCCGAACACCTTGTGATTCATAAGCCGTTCAGTGGCCTCTGGTGGTACACAGAGCTCTGACACCCATTTACAGACCCCCTCCCCACATTCCTCTAACGGTACTGCCATAAGACACTTACCGTTAAGTACAATAAAGAGAGTGTACAATGTCAGATACTAGAACAGAATATCAACAGGAGATCCAGTATACGCCCCAGTGAACTTAAAAAAAAACAAAATACAGCCGACTAAAAGCACTGTATTTCAGTCCGCCGTGATGTGCAGCTTTTGATGGGCAGCAAAGCCGACGTCCGACTCCACATCATTTCCCCAGCAAGGGCGTCACCAGTACACACACAGTACTCCCTGGGGTGTTGAGGTACGTTCCGTGGGGCACGTTCTGAAACCCGAAGGCTGAAGACTTGCCAGGGACACAGTTGTAGATTCCTGCATATGTATGAACAAGCTGTCTGACTGAGAAACGCCACTTAGCTGTGACTTAAATTACTCAAACATGCATATGTGAAACGAATGTGTTGTGATTTAATTAGCAACATGTTTTAAAGGTCATCCATACATGCTTAGAACAAACCTGTTATTTTTACTATTATTAATTATTTCAAGAACTGCAGATTTTAAACAAACTTTCATTTACAGGAACAAAAAAAAAAAACAAAAACAAACAAACAGTAAAAACCAAGCACAAATATACACGGTTGCTATGGAGACCACTGAGCAGTTGCTAAGCAGCCGGGGCTGACCTCAGTAACACCTGCCTGGGTGCTATGCTGATATCTCAGGACCATATTTCTTTGTGATACTGGCAGACTGGGAGCCTCACCACCTCCTCTGCTCACATCTCTGCATCCAGAGCCTCCACAGGAGCACAGGCTCGGATGCGGCCTCAGAACAGAAGCCCACGATTTAACTCCCACAAGCCAAAGGCACAGTTTTTGGGTACACCAGCATACACAACACACTGCATCCTCCCTGGCATCTATCCCACCCAGAGTTCCACGTGCCTCCCGACAGGTCCCAGATCAGTGACACTATTCAAAGTCATCATCACACCAGCATATGTACAGACATGCACCTTTCCCCGGCACAAACCCAACAGAACTAGCACAGCCCCCAACAGACAGCACTCCAGACCGAATTCGGCGAATCAGACATGTCTCCCTAATGCTCACATGTGCAACATGCAGATTATATAACTCAACCAGAGGCCTTCCTGAAGTACTTTTTATAGCAAATCAAATATTATCGGGCAAGGTTCAGTACGCCCCAAGAAAAAGTACCACAGCACAAAATCTCTCCCTCAGACCCGCACACAAACATGGCAACCATGCGTTACGCAAACACAACCCATCCAGAGAAAAGCAAACTACACCCCCACACCATCACACCTTAAACTCCCCACACAGATGGCCTTAAGTCAAGACAAAGGGATATTTACAGAGCCCACAGTCGGTTAAGTGAATACACATCCCGAAATGAAAAACGTGGAGAACAATCCATTCTGTCAAAGGTGCCATGCTGGTTTTGACAAATGAGTGCAACTTTGCTTTCATAAATTATGATTCTGGGATCATGCAAAGCAATATTCAGTTGGCACAGGCAAGGGAGTAGGAGAGAGTTTAATATTGCTTGGTACACAGCTTAATAATTTGCATGCAAAGGTCTATTGTTTGGGGAGGACAAATGAAGCCAAATTAAATATTGGGAGATACACGTCTCCCGCGATTTCTACACCCCTGGGCACACGACTATATAAACAGACGGGAAAGTCCGATTTCTGTATATAGGTGTGTGTTTAAGCCAGTGGATTGAGTCGGTGTCATTACGCCAAAATGATAAGCAGTTCACCGGGTGGTGACTGCACAGAACGGAAGGCATGGCCTCATGGATCAAAGCAGATTGATGTAGAGGAAAGAGGTGTTTAAAAAGAGGAGCTTTGGAGCAGATGTCTGTCGTTGTCGGAGAAGGTGGCAGCGATGCACAAAGCCGAGGCTCCTTACTTGTAAGTCAGTCCGTCCCCGTTAGCGATCAGCTGCTCGGCTGTGAGTCCATCAGCATCGGACTGCTGAGCTGATCTGCGGTTTAAGACGCTGCGTTTTTGTCCCCGTTTCATGCGGATCGTGTAAGCAAACGGGGCGCCGGCGACAGACCGGGCCGACTTACTTGTAGGTCAGTCCGTCTCCGATGGAGAAAAGCTGCTGGGCTGAGAGCCCGTCGTCGGGGACGTAGCCAGTGCCTCCGGTGATCAGATAATCCGCCATGCTACCGGGAAAAGAAAGGGGAGACAGAGTAAAATGCACGGCCCGGAGCCTCCTCGCTTGTGTAAAGAGCCGAAATGCACGGATTTCTTTTTTAATAATCTGCATGAAATGCAGAAAAATCACACTCGCCCCAATCCCCCCCACCACCACCAGCACCACCGAAACCCAGCCTGACGCCACCGGATTCCCTAAGGTCTACTGGACAGACTGTCTCTGAAATATAAAAGTAGACCAAGCTATTTTTTTTTTTTTTTAATCATGTCTGCACCGTAGTTCCCCACGCCCGAAACCAGCAACGAATCGCTGTAACGTCGCATATTTCCGCACAACGCGGCCGTCCGGCTACGAAGAAACGGCCCAGTGACCTAGATCGCATGATCACACAGACGATGTACAATCAAATATAAAACATACGCGGAATTATCATCAACGGAACAAACAAGATATATATATATATATTGCAAAAAGTACATTTTAAAAGGCAGAAGCACTAATTCATTACACATCGGCTGAAATAAACACACGTGCCTCCCATGCGCCGAGCACGTTTTCGCCGATCCTTCCCTCAAATACGCAGCACTGAAAACCAGGAAATAAAAATGCATGAGCCTTCTGCGTCCTGAAAATGCTTTTTAATACAAAAAAAATAAAGGATTTTCAACCACAGCAGGGAAACAAGCCCGATTTCTGCTTTATACCTTTAGAAATGAAACTGAAGCCGTCTCTCTTCGGGCGTTATCGTGAGACTGAAGCCTCCGGCAGGAAAGACGGCGAGACAAAGGCAGATATAATAACCCAATATCGGAGACACCGATGAAGCCCTTGCCCCTTTGCAGCCTTTACGCCCGGCGACGCTGGACGACGGTCCCGATCTCTTATTGCCCCCCTGGTCCGGAGCTGGATGTGGCGCCCTGCTCGCAAACAGCGTCGCGCCTTTCAGCCTTGTCACATGTCTCTGTAAGGGTACTTTTTTAACTCCTTAATCCCATTCCTGCATTAGTCCAAACTGCATCTACGTGCAACACAGGGAGCCTATTCTTTTGCAGTGACACTAATATCTTTTAATATCTCACATGTAATGCGGTGTTGCTGCTAACTTAAATCGCTTGAGACTTTGCATGGCATTTTAAACTTGCTAATTACTTTGAACTCATATTGCTTAAAATGTACGTGCGAATGCGTTTAATTGGAACTTGTTTAAAAATCAAAAATATGTAGGAATTATAGTAACTCGTTTATACAGATCGCATTATCTGCTTACAAAGTTCAGCCCCTTAAATGAATCGCTTGTATTTTTAAACATGCATGGAAATTTCCAACGGTGGTTTAGCGGGTATATAGTGCTGAGGTCGGGCACATGGGGTTTGGGCTTGATTCAAGCATCCAGATCTGTGCGGCAACAGCGATCAGCATGTTCTCGTGTTTGTGCGGGTCCAGTCATGCAGTTTGGCAAACTGACACCTGTACGTCACCCAGCGTGTGCGTGTCCTGCGACGGACTGGTGTCCCTAGTGTGTCCAGGGTCACCTCAACCCCTGTATTGAATAAAATTTAATGCCAGATGTATGTACCAGATGTATGTAAAATAATCTTAATCAATATATGTCGCTAGGGCTGTATCTGTGCTGGCGATGCCAACTATGAAGGTGAAACAAACATATAAAATGACCCCTCAAAGGAACTACAGACACTCTGTCACACACAGCGAATGTCTGATTAGATTAATGTCACGTAGCTTTTGACATGTCGCTTCAGTGTCATGAGGATGATGCAGCGGTTGAAGATAACTTGTCTCGGCGGTAGATCGGCAGTCTCCCTCCCAATCCAGGCGTTAAAATACCTGGCTTTACTCCTGGTTTGCATGCCTGTTTACCTCCAGATTGGGAAACACTTGATATCCGAATTAAAGTTTCTTCTCTCGATTCCCGTATAAATTGGATTCATTCACTGTCTTAGATTAATCATTCCTATATAGACCCGTGATGGCAGGAGTTCCCCCAGTGCCACGGTGGGGCAGATTAAGCCTGCAGCCCTGTAAAACAAAGGCAGCTTTTGCCCCTTAGGAGAGACGCAGATATATTTTAAGGTAATTATAGGCATGTAGCTGAATCGGCCTGAAAGCCCTCAGGGTTCATCGTTAAAATTACACAGCCGTATGTTGTGATTACGTGGGTAAAAAAAAAAAGATAATATGGCCTTTTCGCTTAGTCATACGAGACTGGGAGACTGGGCACCATCTGTACTGGGGGAGTAAAATGAAGGAGTGTTGTATATGGCGTTTTCTGGAGTTAAGTAACTGAACTATAATAATTTTGGCCAGCTAATAAACCACTATGAACATGCAGCCAAGGTATTGATGTTATTGTGAAATGCCATGTGCGACATTATTTTGAAGATGTTAATAAACACGTGGGGTAAGTGTAAATAAGAAAAGCAAATCAAATAAATTATTTGAATAAGGTTAGTTTCACAGTTTCAATAAAAAATGTACAATGACATGAAGTTGCTGTTTCACACATAATTCATACATATTGAATATGTTGGACCCAAGATCCTGCTTTGCCTAGCTTTGCCCCCCTTATTTTCTACAGCTTGTGTATATATATATATATATATATATATATATAGTCAAATGCAGGGTAGCCCCTTCCTTTGATGTGGGTTTGTGTTGTTTGTGCGCCACATCACCATACACAGGGGTGCCTTTCCTTCCCCAACCCCCAATATTGATGAGCCTAAGCTAGGACGTCTGATGTTCTATTTACTGCACTATTTTTGTGAAATAAATTTGGTTCAGAATGTTCAAAAATTGTGTCATGACATAATTACCAAGGAACAATGTGGGCCTTGAGGCAAAACTGCTGAGAAGCGCAGCTTTAATGCGCACACATGATTATACTGATATCATAAGCGAGACGTTCCCAGTCAGCAGCAGAAAAGCGCTGCTGGGATGTGCTTCGGTAAAGTGGCTGCCCTCGACATCACTGCAGTGCTCTATGGATCCCATGAAGGGGGAGATTAAGCCGGCTGGGTGGCTGGTAGAGACAGGGATTTGGGTATTTTTTCACTCCGCAAATCACATCTGAATATATATACTCAGTTTCATCAGTCTAATCCTGCACTGCTTTTTATTCCAGATCCACTTAGTGAAATTTAATCGTGAAGCCAGGAGCCTGTGATCCGGAAACCTCACCTGGACATTAATGTACCAAAAATCACATACGACTGAGCGTTCAGCTCCTACGTGCTGTAGAAAGTGCCCAGAGCTGGAGGCAAGACCATTAACCACACCTGAGGGGGTTCTTGGACCGATCAGAGTCATAGATCTTCACATCCTGACAATAGAGGTCAGGGTCCCTCTATAAATCACTCAGCACAGACGGTTTGAGGTTTTCCTATAAGAGCAACTTGTAGACTCTTCTGGGAGAAAGAAAAATCATTGAAAATGGCAACATATGTAATCTTTGGGAAATTTTGCATTTGGCAACAGCTTAATTCCCTCTAATTTCCCTCATTCCTGAGGTACTTGAGGCTGCATTTTTCCTACATGTCTTCAGCAGGCCCAAACAGTGGGCTCTCTCACTGGCTTGTGCAAGAAGCTTATATGAGGTGACATTAGGTAAGAGCAGGGCTACTTTGCTGATGGACTAAGAAATAAACATGGTAGTTTGGTTAAGTTTTGGCCAATATTTAAAGGCAAGTCATGCATTTGGACATGGAGAAGGTCAGCATTAATCAGGAAATGGGAAATGTTCCTCTACCCCTGTGGATTCTGCTCCTTCAGAATCTAGATGGAGGGAAGGTTCCCAGAGAAGGAGATATGTCACATATTTAAAGTCTTTCACAAATGTATAGGAGATTAACCTCATATTTGTCAGAGAATGTGCCAATAGCTTGTTGTAAAATATATACACGTGGCAGAGAGTCTCCAAACGTATTTCTGAATGAAGAAAAAAAGGCAGATCTACCAGTTTATCCCTCCATCCATCCATCCCCTAACCACCCATCATGCTCGGCGTCATGGCAGATTGGCAGAAATAAGAAATACGCAAAATCAGCTAATACTGACAGCTTGTACTGAAACAGGAACACTGGAATGAACAGAATGTAAAACAAATGAATAACAACCACAGTAACAAAAATAACAGCCGTTTAAATGCTTAAGTATTGACCTTAGTGCCTTTGCCACAGGTTATGGCAGGAAGCTGCGTATCTCTTGCCAGCTGACTAGGGGCCATGTTTCTAATATTACATTTCTTGCTTTTCTTGCAAACACCACTGTGATGATCAAAGGCAGCCTGACACACGACGGTCCCTGTAACTGCACTTTCCCGGATAAAAGGCCGCCTGGCCCAGACACTGCATTTTTTATCCCTGCCATAATGAACGCTCCGTTTCCACGTGAACCGCTCTTTGTAGCGTTGCGTTTTGTGTTCATTTCGCTCCTTTCATATGGAGCCCAGCAGATGTGTAATTTCTCTGGCTAAAGACCAAAGGAGAGTGAAATAGCAATTTTAGTTGTGTGTTTCCGTGGGGTTGCACTTTCGCTGGGCTGTTATTCCCTCTAAAGAGAAACTTAGTACTGGTGCTGATTTTATTATCTATAAATTTAGACTCCCCCCCCATTTAATTTTTGCAAATGTAAAATATCAAGTGAAATATGTTAGTGAGACTTGCATGTGAAATGGATGCGCGCAGTTTGAGTTCATGTCAAGGACTCATCCATTCATGTGATCGTCGTTGGCGTTGACGTTAGCAGCTAACGCTAAGCCGCCCAGTGGTGGGTGCTGGTTTACTCACCTCTCTGGCTCGTAGCCCGCCTGGATGCGGGTGGCGGTATAGCGCTGGGCGGCAGTCTCATGCCCATGCACATGGACGGCTGGCCGGCGAATGTGTCGGGCAGGATCCGCATCCGTCGGCATCCTCCACCAATCCACGTCCCCTTCACCTCCGAGCCGGTCATACCTGTGGCCCTCCATCTTCGAGAAATCCAGAGCAGCGGCCTCTCTTGTTCCTCCTGCCGTCCGACCCCTGCGCCCCTGCTGCGCGATCTGCCTCAAGTCTCTGCAGACCCGCGGTCATACAGTGGGTCTCGAAACAATTCACATGTGGTGCTCGGATAAAGAGAGAGACAGCAGGACGCCCAAGCGGCAGCGGGGGGGGGGGGGGGTGGCTCTGCTGAAAAACAATAACTAAAAACAATATTATCTTACTGAGCACATCGTGTCCCGTGGATCGTTTATGTTCTCCAACCTTCGTTTGCTGGGACTCCTCCCAATCGTCAGCTGTCTTTCCGACTCTCTCGGAACAGTCTGCAGACGATAGAGGAACCCAGGAGCAGATCCGGCAGAGAAATGAGGGGTGATGCCCGGCGGGGTTGTAGCGGCAGCCGCGGGGCAGGGAGGCGGGGGGCGAGGACTGTGGCGGCGGGATGCTCCGATGAGGAGGGCGCTCAGCTCTGGTGTACACCCCGGGGAAGCTCCCAGCTTAACTCTGCTCCTGACCAGAGCAGACGTCACTCTTCACAAAGAGGATTGGAGAACTAAAAAAAAAAGGGGGGGGGGGCAGGGGTATATATGGGGGGGTGGTGGAATGGGACAAAATGAAAACACTTAAAGATACTCATTTTCCACTCCCAAGCCTACCCCAGCAGTAAAGATGATGCACCCTTACGTTTGTGTGCATGTGTGTGTGTGCGTGTGTGTGTGCGTGTGAAGGCCCTTTCTCTCCAGGGAACTCCCTGAAGGGTAAACCCACTGAGGAATCACTGCACAAACACGGTCACAGGGAAAACACAGGCCCTGATGTTCACCTGGGCTTTCATCAGCCAGGGCCTGCAATATTAAATCAACAACTTGATTACACTTAACTGTGTCGGCCAAGCTGACAATGCTGTGATGTAGGCGACTGACGCACAGAGCAGCCCCCCTGCCCCTGGGAGCCGCCTTTTATGACCTGAGGTCCTATTCTGAACTGTTTGGATGGAAACCAGTTTTGCAAGCAGGTTGTACACAAACCCTCCCAACCTGCCTTTGGAAAAGAGGCCCTAATCAGCCTATTGGGTATAAAATCAGGCCTTTCAAAGTTTCATTGTCCAATGCACATGCAAAGAATTCCTCCAGACTAGTGTCATTAAACACAACACAATGACAACGACTAAATGCTGATGAACAAGTAGCATTGTTCTAGTCAGCACAGCACATATATGCAAAGACATGGCACTGAGGTATGCTGA